GAGAGATTAAAGGGTCCTCTGATTCGATTCAGATTCAGAGACTCGGTCACCGAATCGGGCTGAATCTCTGCAGAATCGAATCAGGGATCGAAGCTTTGTACAGCCGTAATGCCTAGGGTCTGTGGGGCTAGGGTCTGTGCTGTGGGAGATATGAGGGAGGAAGGGGGGATCCCTGCTTGAGCAGTGAGGTGGGGTGGGGCAAGGGGAAGCCAAACAGATGCTGCTTTACCTGCAGTCTCCTCCAGAGCTCTGGCTAGGGAGCAGAGGGGCGGGGCCTGTCCTGTTCTCTGGAACAGACAGCCCAGCCCTTGGCTGCAAAGCATCTGGGATGTTAACTTAAACCAGGAAGGGGTCTGGGACAGACATTGCATAAAACAGTTTGACCCAAAACAGTTAAGTCTGATAATACATTCAATCAGGTTTATCTTAAACCAGTTTCAGCCATTTTGAAACAGATTTATGTGCACTGAACTTATGTTTTGTTACAGATTTAAACCAGTTTCTGATCACTTAAATTGGTTTATGTGTAATGTCTGTCCCTAGCCATGATGTTTCTCTGTTGTGATTTTTCTCTCAGCCTCTTTCTCATCAATTCCCTAGTTATCTTGCCTCTCTGTAGATCATGGAAGGAAGAGGTTGTCATTTGAAACTTTAAAAAGGCAGTTTAGGTTCCATCTATAAGAACTGTATTCACTGTAGAATTCCATTATTGACATCTTTTGTAAACTTAATCTTACGCTATTAGTAGTTCCTGCATATAATGAGGTAACACTGATATACTAAACGTTTCATGGTATAGTCAGGTATAAAATACATGTTGTTACATATGTCTTTTTTATTTTTGCTGAAAATATTCAAGGATGGTTTTCTTTTGAGTATTTACTAGCAGTTTTGTATAAATTGGAGCTATTTGGGTAATTATTTCAGTAGCTTCATCTTTCTACCATGCTGCAGGTATCTGAGCACCTCCAACTTCAACTTTTTGGGTGTCTTAAAAAGAAAATTGTTGTAACAGATTGCAGGACACCAAACATAGTAGGACAAATTGCATCCCTGTTTTAACACCTGATTTATGTTTACTTTCATAGACTTACTGCCAGGGCAGATTTGGCTCATAAAGGTTGTTTGGGAAGTTCAGATCTCAGTCCCTATACTATGGGATTATTACAACCAGTAAAATGTGGCTGGCCTAAACTAACAATTAGGCCAGATACAGATATTATATATAAACTGGTATAAGTGATCAGAAACCAGTCTAAACCTGTAACAGAACAGAAGTTCAGTGTACATAGACTGGTTTAAAAACGGTGGAACCTGGATGGATGTAGTATCAGATTTAATCAGTTTAGGTTAGAACAGCCCCCCAGCAGCCGATTTGCCAATGGCAAACCCTGAAGTGCCACCGGTACTTCTCTCAGCGCCCCCACAATCTCAGGAGGGGCATTGGCTGTCACCCCCCACTCCCTGGCTGGCAAGGGCCAAACTCAGTGGGGGCATGTGCCCCCCTGTAGTCCCCCTACACGTCGCCTCTGGGGCAGGGTGTGTGTGTGGGGTGCAGAGGGGAGGGTCGTGTGTGTGAGAGGGAGAGTGAGAGTGCAGGAGCGAGGGGGATAGATAGTAGGGGTATATGAAACGGGCTGTATTTGATTCAGATTTGGCCTGAATTGAGGACAGTGATTCGATTGTTGATTCAGATCACTGTCCCCGATTCAATTCAGTCAAATCCGAATTTGAAGACGCGATGCTGATTCAGAGTATCAGCAATTCAGCCATAGACACAGCTTTAAATGTTTTTTCTAAATTCCTCAAGGTACCAGACACGGCTCATGAGTGCTGCGATGCTGGGGCGGATGGAGTGTCCCACAGGAGCATGGAGGAGGAGGGGGCGTGTGCTCGGTGGTGAACCCAGAAGTGGGCCAGAAGTACTTCTGGTCCACTTCTGGGTCCACCACTGAGTGTGTGGGGGCCCCCCCATGTCCCCCTGGCTCAGCGATTAGCCGCAGGGGGACCCCGGGTGCCCCCAGACACAGGGGGCACCCGTCACTCCCAGAAGTGGACCAGAAGTGCTTCTGATCCACTTCCAGGTCTGCTGCTGAGCATGCTGGGGACAACCCCCCCTCCCCAATGCTCCTGTGGGATGCCCCATCTGCCCCACCATCACAGCATTCACGAGCCACCTGGTACCTAGAGGTATGTAGAAAAAACATTTAAAGCTGCGTCTATGTCCAAACCGTCGAATCTTTCCAGATCTCTTCTAATCGATTCAGAGGTTTCCAATTCAATTTGGAGAGATTAAAGGGTCTCCTGATTCGATTTGGATTCGGAGATTTGCCCACCAAATTGGGCCAAATCTCCATCAAATTGAATCAGCGACCAAAATTTCGCACAGCCCTAATAGATAGGGTGTGTGGGTGACGGAGGATATTTTTTTCCAAAACTCCACCCTTGTCTTTTTTTTGTCTTTCATTCCCCCCTTGGTTCTTTGCTTATTTCTAAAGCTCTTTGGACTGTGAAAGGTGCTGGCCATTGCAGAATGATGGAGATGACTGTTTAGCTCAGTTGGTTAAAGCAAGGGGTACCTGGGATGCAGGGGGTATGCACGGGCAGGCTGGTGGGTGGGGACGGACTGCACCCCAGGACGCACCAGCAGCATCTCCCCTGGTGCATTCCCATGCTTTGTTTCTTATCCGGGGGAGGAGGAGGGGTGCGCCGGGTGCCGCTGCCCCCACACAGCTCACCACAGCGCCTCCTCGCTCCCACCTCAGCTCGCTTTCTGTGCCCACCCCAGGAGCAGGGCCAGGAGGATGAGGGCAGTGGTACTTCTCTGTGGGCCACGCACATGCTACCCGGCCAGCTGGGTGGGGAGGGGGAGGGCTCGCATATGACGGCCACCACTGCCCTGCACTGCCACCACCGCTGTTGTGCCCCGTGCTGCTTTGCTGTGGTTGGTCACATGTGCGGCTCTGAGGGCTGCTGATGTGTCTCGCACCTCATGCACCTCCTGTCAGCAGCCCACAGAGCAGCATGTACAACTGGCCACAGCAAAGTGGTGTGGGGTGGCGGCAGCTGCTGTGTGCGAGGCTCCCCCACATCTGACTGCCCAGGCGGTGTGTGTGCAGACCACAGGGGTCACTGCTGCCCTCACCCCCCCAGCTCTGCTCCTTGGAGCAGGCACAGAGACACATTCCCCTCCATTCTCGATCTGGCCCCCCTCCAGCCACTTCCCTCTCCCCTAACCTGCCCCTTCCCCACACACACGCTTACCTGCTGGGGGTGTGTGTGTGTGTGTCTGTCCCCTGCCTGCCCAGCTGCAGCAGGCACATGGTGTCATGTGGCTCTTGGGCCAGAGGGGTGCAGAGTCCAGCCTGCAGCAGCAGCTGCCTCCGCTCTGCGCACAGAACTGGGGGGCATGTACCCCCTGGACTTCCACTGGAGTGCGCACAGTGGCAGGACCCCCCCACCCCTGCCAGCTCCTGGAAGAACCTCTCTCACGGCTCTGTCCCACACTCCTCCCTGGTTGTGCGGTGCCTGCCCCTGACCCGCTCCCTCCCTTACCACGGGGGCCTCGATCTGCTGCCCTGAAAAACATATAAAGGGGTACATGAGCTGAAACATTGAGGCAGAAAGGGGTATGTTTGTTAAAAAAGGATGAAAATCCCCTGGGTTAAAGCATGGTGTTAATAACACCAAGGTCGCAGATTTGATCCCTGTTTTCAAGGTACCTTCTAGCCTTACTTCTCTGTGAAATGTTTCTATGAGATGTTGCCATTCCCTCTCCTGGCAGCCAGGCCATGCTGGGCTTCTCCTTTAAAAAAAAAAAATCTTTTTAATTTTTCCCCTTCAGATTGCCCCATAGTGATGATTTCCATTTGCCCTGCTCTCCTACAGTGCTGGGGAGCTATGCTTTCCTGCCCCCCACTCCCCGCGCGGCAGCTGTCTCCCAGCCTAGCTGGGGTGGCTTTTTGCCATGTTTGGCTTGTGTGCTTCTCTGTGCTGCAGTACAAAGGACCAGGATGGTAGGCCAGACGGGGGTGATGTGTAGATGTATGAGAACTCCCCTGTGCCTCCTGTGAGCACATTCAGCAGTCCCCCGGCAGCCCAGGGAGGCTACGGGTCATGCTGGGAGGCATGCTTGAGCCTCCCCACCATGCTGGACTTTGGTCAGTGCAGGCAGTTTCATACCTCCGCCCTCACACACCTAACACATTCACAGCTTAAGTTAGAAACCCATGCTAGTTTGAGTGATTCTACCTTTGTCTTTTTGAATGTCTGTACTTAGCCTTAGTGTAAATACTGGCATTGCTTTAAGAAGAGGTGCACAGGGTTCTGGCATCTTGGTTATAACCTAAATACATCTGAGCTAGTTAAGTCTAGGTGCAAGTGGCAGCTTCTTGACCCTGTACTACACAGCCCTTTCTGGCCAGATAGCATTAGTTCAGTTGTACCAGTCAGGAATTCACATGCTAGCCCACTTGCAGCTTGCATGAAAGGATCCATGAGTTCAGTGGCTTTTTGGCCAGATTCAAGTCTCAATTTCTCTTCCCCCACATCAGTACAGCAAAAGGCAAACCAAGAAGACTTACTTCTAACTTGAAATAAACATAAAAGCACATAAAAGCTAGGAATATAACTTGTGAAGTTCAAGGTTTTCAGAAGAATGCACACTCACAGCATAGATCAGAAGCCGTGCCTCATTTACTGTACTGCAGTGCGGCCCATCACCAGTGCCTGATCCTGACTCATCTGCTTAAGAGCATTCTCTTTTTTTTTTTTATTAGATCCAGTTCAATTTAGGCAGTGAACACATCTGTCCTGGTAGAATTAATTGAAAAACTGGGGCAAATATTTCTTAATTATTTTTCAAAGATATTTCCTTTTTTCTTCCCCTCAGACTTTTACATTTCCAAAGTCCAAAAATAGTTCAGTGATCTTTTAGTCCCTAGGAAGTGGTCTGAGAGCTTTCCATGACTTTACATGCACCACTTTACTGCCATCAGCTACTAAGAATTGTTGGTCTCTAGCACAGCTGGCTAAACATGCCGAAAGTCAGAGACTCGAAAAAAAAAAAAAAAAAGAGGTGGGAGGAATTTTAAATTTCTTAAGAAGTTCTGACAGCTGTAATGACCCAGAGTGGATTAGAATATGCAGCTGAAAGGTGAGAATGACATGGCTTGTTAACAGCATCCTGAGTTCTCCCGGTGTCATCAAAATGAATGTTAATAGAATTCAGAGGAAAGGTAAACCACCCCCTTCCCTTCTATTAAATTGTGAGACTGCTGATTCTACTAGTATTGACCCACTCAGGTGTGTCTATCAAATATTTGAAAAAAAGGACAAGTGTGCTGTTTTTTGGTGAGTGGACATAATTTCTCAGAATATTCAATAAATGGTAACCAAATATACAAGTATTTCCATCTCCCCTGTCTGTTTTCCTGAATGTGATTGATATGCTAATTTTTTCTATGATAACTGACCCCTATTTTTTAGAACAATTCCTCTAACTTTGCACTTTTTCTAACCTGATGCTATCAATAGCAGCTACCAACAAATGAGCAATTAATTCATCATTTTGTTGCATGTGCTTATCTCTGTAAGGAAGCCCCAGAAGGATTATCAAGTGATCATTTGGTAATAAATAAGCAGCAGTCTGTGTTATGTGGTTACATTTATTTTCTAGCTGAAAGGAGGGAAGTGTGAAAGCTGCATTTCTTGAGTGTTGCACCTCTGATAAACCTTTCTTTTTTGTTAGGAAACAGAAAGAGCTTATCCCTGTAGCTGTAGGATTGGGTCTTGGGGAGCACTGGGCTGGGTGCATGCTGTGCATCCTGAGTCTGCTGACATGCTCCAGACCTGGAAGTTCAACACCAAGGTTGCTTGGACTTGTTCTCAACAGCTGGTGTGTGACTGCAGACCTGAATGCAGCTAGTGGGCAGCCTGCACAGCTGGAATGTGCCTGGTACATGTGGTGTGCTCAGCTCAATGCCTTAGATTTTTTTTCTGATGTAGGATTGTATTGCCTGCTTGCATCACTGTGGAGTACAATATACAGCATACATCTGTTGCTGTTAGTTGTTGATTATGTTTGCATTTAAGCAGAAGGGACTAAAAAGGATCTCCTAAGTCACTGAGACCAGTCTTCTACTATTGAGGACAACCATATAATTCCATTCCTAAAGTTATCAAGTCCCAGCTAAAAAGCAGTTTGTTTTTTGTCCCTACTATTTTAAAAGGCTTTTCCAAAACCGAGGGGGGAGGGTTGTGTTTGTATGTACACATACATACACACAGTGAGCTTCTGGAAAAACTCCATATGCTATACACACACATACACACTACATATATGTAATCCTTTCAGAGAAAAAGATAACAAGTTAGTCTGACTCAATCAACTTTCTGTAGATCCATGTTACACTTTATCTGTTATTTTTTTCCTGCTGTGGTTTTAATTATGCTTCCTTTCAAAATTTGTTTTAAAATCCTACTTGCTATTGAGGTCAGGAATGAGGCTGTGGTTGCCCTGGTCAGTTTTCCCCTCTTCCTAAATATAAATAATATATTCACTGTTCTCTAACCATATAGCACTGTCCTAACTTGATATATTTATTAAAATTACCTGCTACCTGTAAAGGTTTCATGTACTAGATGTTTTGTGATGCTGTAATGGAGATTATCAGGGCCCCTCCATGTTAGCACTATTAATGTTTTGCATCCATCCTGGACATGGCAATTTTATTTCCATATCAGTATTTCCATTAACAGTCCTTCCTTGCTTCCTTCCCCATGTTCAACACTATTGTCCTTATTAAAAACTGAGGCCAAGCGTTCAGTTAGGTTTTGGGCCTACCTAGATTATCTTTAATCTTCACTTTATCCTCACTGTAAAACATGCTTCTTGTTCTTCAGCTATATAAATAAAAAGAGACCAAGGAAAGATGTTTTTCTTGTTTGTTGTAATATCCTTTTCAGTGTTTGACTCAAATCAACAATTCTCACTCTTATGTCTGCACTTCTTGCCTTCTAAGATGCAACTTTCTTTGATTAACCCATTTCCCTGTCCCATGTAGGCACTGTTTTAATATCCTTTGGAAGTAGTCATTTGTTCAGTTAGGTTTTGACCTGTTCCTTACAAGTTTATTTCCCTTGCACAGTGTATACAAATCCCAGGTTTTATATCTTTGATTTAAAGAAGTCTCAACAGAATTCAAGTCCCCAAACTCTTTACTAACAAGATTCCTGAGCCCTTTTGAAATAGAGTACCTTCATTTCAGACCTACTTCTGTTTCTTCATCCATTTAAAATGACTTAGTCTCTGGTAATTTGATACCGGGTTATATTCTATCACAAGCTTCTGTATAACTTTCTTGCTTCTTACTAAAACTAATTCTAAAATATCATCACCTCTTGTTGGTTCGATGGCTATTTGATAAGAAATTAATCAGCTGTTATATCCAAGAATATCTGTGCCCTACCATTCTTAGTAGTGTTTGTTCTCCAGACTGTAACTGGGAAGTTCATACTCCACAATGATAGTTCCCAGCAACATTTATCTTTGGCATTGCAAAGAGTTCAGTCCAAATCCTGATCTAACCATGAATATCTGCAACAGACTCCTAGCACTACCCTTGTAGAATCTCGCTGATAACCTCCAAAGTGATTTTGTTCCAAACAGAATCTCTGGTATTCATGCTATTCCTTCTTGCTTGATTACAGTCAGTCAAGTCCCTCCATTTTGTTGAGCATTTTGTTGAACAGGCTCCTTGCATTAGTATACAGCCAAATTAGTATACAGGCACAGTTCTTTTAGTATTCATATCACCTATTTAACTGCTCATCCCACTAGTATTTTCTTTTTCCTTGCTCTGTCTTGTTCTTTCTCCTACCCCTGGGACAACCTTTACCCATTCCTGTATCCTTTTCCTTTGTAACACCAGATCTGGGGTTGCACAAGTGTATCCCAAACTTCTCCCTTTATTTCCTTTTCATGCCAGCCCTGATTTCAGAAGGACAGAACACCAGTTGCTCAGATGAAGCCCATTCATCAAAAAGAGTCCAGTTTCTGTGGGTAGATGTCACAACATTTTCCTTATTGTTCCAGTCCATGTATTAATATTTATTATCTTGTCACATCTTCAACTTCCTTCTCTAGGGTCTGGAAGAAATCCAGTGAAGATCACTGGAGCCTCTGCTTCTTTGAGCATCTTCCTTCGCTTGGAATAGCTTAATCCTCAATCCATTCCACTGACAATCTGGCAGGATCATTTAATTCTAATAATTACCTTTTCTATTGGAATACTTTCCAACCTCTGGTCCATATCTCAACCATGTTCCTGACAAGGAGCCATCCTGGTGAAAAGCTTGTTGATTCTTCTTAACAAGAAGGCCTCAGTTCTCAGACCTGCCTCTTCCTAGTGTTGGGTGTGAATCTTAGGTCCTCTCCCTTCTATTCTGTTCTTCTTTCAATCTTCAGATCATTCTGTCTCTCCTGTATACAATCTTTATTCCTCCTCAGGTGCTCTGGTCCTTGGATATCTCAATTGTCTCTTTCCAGTTTCTTGCCAGGCTAGCTGCTTTTCTGGTTTGCCATCCAATCTTCTATTTGTTTCTGTTTCTTTTCATAGCAGTGAAACAAACCTGTTCCTCAGCTGCTTCTCCAGTCTCTGTGGCTCTCCCTTCTTACTTAGAGGTCTGCCTTCCAGGTTCTTTTGATCAGCAAGAGTTTTCATGGCTTGAGAAATCCATACATCCTCTTCTCTCCTTTTTCATGTCCTCAAAATCCCTGTCTGAAGTCCACCAGCATTTCCACCTGATTTTCATATCTCCTTTTCCATGAGTTTTATTAGGTGATACCTTAGGTAATAATGGCTTTGCCTTTACCCAATCATGGGTAATGTTCATCCTGCAACTTCTGCTTCCAGTCTTTTTGATGTCTCAGCAGCAATTTGGGCTCTGTTACTCTTGCCTCAGTTGCTATCCTTGCCTTTTCTTTGGTCATGGTTGCCAAGACAGAAGAAACAAAGTCCCTTGTTTAGTGCCCTTTGCTAGCTGGGCTTCCTTAGTTGTGGCTGCTTGGCTTTTTAAACTGTTAGCCTAAGGTAGCCCCAGTCCCTCATTTAGGATTGGTAGGAAGCCTCCCCTATGCCTTCACACCCCCTTCTCAACACCTGGCACCCTGCAGTTTACACACTACAGTCAAGACACAGAGTCTGCGAACTGCAACCAAGCAAACAAATTCACTAACCTTCAAGGAATTAAGAATTGCTGCCCCTTCACAAAAGTTGAGTCCCACAGAAAGTCCGTGACTTGCTATTTTCTGCTTGCTGGTTCTGCTAGGGCTGTTCTTGCTTCATAAGGCTTTGCTTAGCTCATCACTGCTACCATGTTTATTTGAAGCAGTTCATGTCTATGGCATTTTGTGTTAGGACTTCTGGTTCTACTATGAAGTGTTCCTTGAATTTTGCTCAGGGGGCGGAAATTAATGTAAGTGGTTATGAGGCTTGGAATGGACTGACACTGGCACGCACTAGGAGTCACGGTCTGTGTGATTTTGGTGCAGTGTAATTAGACTAACAAATCTTATATTTACAGCAGTGTCATCATACATATCAGATTAAGCCTTTGCTGTTTAAACCTTGTTAATTGACTTGCACTTAGAACTGTGGGTAATGAATGGCACTTTGAGGGACCAGCTAAGTTGTAACAGCCCCTCTGTGCCCTCCCTCCAAACTAGACAAATTCTACAAGAGGGCATAAGCCATCGGTGTTAGCCTTAAACCAGTTATGTTGACACAACTACTTTTTCCAGTTAGAAGGCAAGAGGAATCTGTGCAAGTGGCTTTGTACAAAGGTCACTGATGGTTCATGGGAGTCTATGTGCACAAACAGGTAGACCATGTCTTCATATCTCATTGGCTAAGCCTCACCATGTATGTCTACAGTCACTGATGCAGAGGGACACTGGAGAATCTTCTCTAGGTTGCTCCTGCCTGGCCACAACAGCACCATGTTCTCTGGTGAGTGCCTGTGTTCATCTATAGATAGAATATGACCCCTGATAGGTAGTTTTATTCTTCCTAATGTGGTTGCTTTCCTGAAACCATTTGCAGAAGTAAAAATGGGTCATTTCCTATATTCATTAAATACAGTGACTCCAACCAA